TTTCTTAATAAATTAAAAATTATAATAATTAATTAAGATAAAAATGTGTGACATTAAAAATTGAGGGTGTGGCAATAAGTCTAATGTTTTTATCCAATAAAATAGGATTTTAATACTTAATTGGTAACATTTCATATTTATTTGTAATTAATTACTACTTAAAGTCTTACTCCCTCCGCACTTGCGGCCTTAGCCGCGATGAAAGTGCACCAACGCCCTTGGTTTTTTTGTCAAAGGTTCAAGCTGCCAATGCAGCAGTAGTGTAACTATTCCCCCATCCCCCTATTTCCCACTGGTCAAAAAAAAAAAAAAAAAAAGTCTTACTCCCTCCACCTACAAAATAAATGTAGTTTTATTACTTTGAATCTATTCTAAATTAATTGTCGTTTTTTCATTTTTGAAGATAAACAAATTTTTTTTCCTATTTTATCCCTATCATTATTCATTTATTTTAATTAATTATCCAATCACAAAAAGTCTCTCTTTATCTTTTTATTTCTTTTTAAAAGGTATTATAGATAAATATAAATATTGTCCATAAATCTTTAATTTGGGAAAAAAAGTTTAAAAACTGAAATTATTTTAGGATAGAGAGAATAAATAAATTCTCTTATTTTACATATGTTGTAATTATCTTTTTAAAATAAGAATAAAAATATTAAATGACATTTTAAACAAGAAAAAACAACTAAATTTAAATATTTCAAAAAAAATTAGGTGTATTAAAGTTGAATGGAGGCAGTATATAAGATGGAAATCCCTTGGGTTATATATAAATTTCATGATCCATTTGATTCAAATTAAGACTACAAAATTTTGTTAATAAAATTATTGATAGAGTACCGTACATCCTATCTAAGTGTTTGTTATCAGTGTAATGATAAAATGGTAAAAAATTTGGGACGAAAATTTGGAACTAATGACATAGTGTATATTATGTCATTAAATTAGTTAGTTGATATATATAATATTTGGATTTCAAAAAAACAAAAAGAACCAATAATCATTGAAAAATATAAGATATACATTTTAATATTTTATTGTTCCCAAATTTTCATTCCATTCATCATTTTTCTTGTTATAAATTGAGGCAAGAATCTCTGGTAGTATTTTGAAGAGGAAATAAATTATTACCAATCTATAAAAGGTCATTTGGCAATAATAAATTATCTTGAAACAAAATGCATTCCAATTAAGTGATCTTTTGTTTCGTTTGAGGGAAAGGAAAGGGAGTTAGAAATTGTTCTATTTGGATAAAAAAAATTGGAAGAGAGTTAGCTTTCCCTTATTTTGAGTTATGAAACTAATAATTGGCAAAATAAAAAAATGTAATGAAAGTGATTGATAAATATATCATACTATTGTTTTGTAGTTTGCCTTGCACCAACCGCAAGACAATTAACTACTATATTGATGAAGGAGGTGGAACCTAATATCAGGAGTTTACTCTCCATTAATAGTTAATTGAATACTTTTTAATGAATATATATTCAAAATTCCACTGTTAATCTCAAAATTTATCATCACATCAATTATTTAATTAAATTTTAAAATGAATTATTGAGAATGGTGTAAGTCACACGTCACTTAAAAGGTAATAATATGCACATAATTTTTTTTTTACAATTTATATATAACTTTTATATATTATTAAATGAGTAAATGTATATAATATTATAGATTTCAATAAATAAAAATAATTAATAATTAAATTATATGTAAATTTATATAAAAATTATATTAAAAAATTATCCCTTAATCATTTTCTAATTTTAATAGATGTTAAGTCATTATTCTCCTGTCATTTATCATTTGCCTATTCTCATATAAGAATACATTTTTTGAAAAAATAAACAAGGAAAATGTAGCTTTCTTAACCATTAGCACGCAGTTCCAACTTTGACACGGTTTTATCTTAAAATCTAGATTTTAAGTTAGTCAAATATAGAAGAAAAAGAGTTTATAAAAATAATATATAGAAGAAAAAGAAGACCATATATATTAAACTTATTGTTTTTATTTGAGTAAAGATTGGAGTTGAACTTAATTAAAAATCAGAAAAACAAAAACCAAATAAAAAAGACCAAAGGTTAATAACAAGATCTGAAAAAACAGGATCCATTTTAATTAACGTGTAGGTTATGATTGCGGCAGGTAATTAAGGGATTCCTTCAATTCTGCCATCAATTGCTCCATTTCTTAAAAAGGTGAAAGAAATCATATCTCACATATATATAGGCGACATAAACATGTTTAAGATAAGTACTTACTATATTTAAGAAGCCAACCACTCCCTCTTGTTTGGTAGTCATTACCATTTTCAACATAAGAAATTTTGAGATCGATCTTTTTTTTTTCGTCCATTAATATGAAATGGAAAAAAAAAAGTTCTAAGGAAATATATTTATCTAGACAAAAGAAAACAAATACCTACCAAAATAAGCCAAAGTACAAGAAATTAATTGCATTTAATTAAGTAAAAACTTTAATTAAAGTCACACACAAAAGTCTATGCAAAGAAAAGTTTAGGACCATCCTTTCCTAACCACTAGACATGGAGGAATTGGAATTCTAGCAGCAAATAGAATAGCCCCTCTTATCAACAGAGCACCAACCCGTTTCTGTTATCATCCACTAGACTAGGTACGAGGAAATTAATGTTCCTCATTGTGGATTCCTAGGTTCTTTTCTCCAACATTCAAAAAGATAATTAACCATGCATTAATTTTTTTTAAAAGAGAAGTAAGAGGTTATGAATGCTTAAGAAAATAATGATGCAAGGTAAATTATAAGTAATTTCACTAAATTTCTTGTTCATTTCTAAAAATAAATAAGAAAGAAAAGATAATTACAATAAATATATTGCTGCAAAACCCTCTCCATGACATCATATTTCTTTTCAATGCTAGCTATAATTTCTACACTTTTTATCTCATCATAATTCTAAATTATCAGAAGGGCAAATCCATGGATCAACCGTACCTTGATCAGCTCTGGAAGAAACATTTTCCAAACCTTTATGAAGGTGGTGATGAAATTCCGACGTGGACGAAGCTGATGAATAATTCACTTTGCAGCTGCTAGCCCTTTGCAAAGAACTATAGTTCCCATCCAAAGGCCTAATCTGATTTTGACCAAAGTTTGCATTAACATGACTCTGTCTCAACCCCAGACCCTCCAAGGAAGCCATGGACGAACCAACTTGTGACTTCACACCGAAATCAGCCACATTAGGGTGTAGATGAGGAAGAGGCAGCAGCTGCGGTGGCTGGAGGAGAGACTGAAATGAAAGAACTGAATTCTGACCAACTGCAGGAATGTTTAGTAGATTGGTTGTGGACATTATATTTTGGTTAGTCGTTGTAACATCAACGGACCCGGATGTGGGGACGTTGTGCAACAATGGAGGTGGCGTTGGAGGAACTTGAACTCTTTGAGCCAGGGGACATAAGGGGTAGAGACTGCCTGCTAGCGGGTCCAGATGAGCAGACCGCATGGCTGCACCTGCCGTGCTAAAGAGATCCAGCCGGCGAGAATAGGCTGAGCCAGAGAATGGCGGTGATGGGATCCCGGTGAATTCCTGCACCATTGCTCTGAAATTTGTCGTGTCGGTCGTTAGAACCGTAGTAGGAGCTCTCCTGGATGCTCTAGTCCTCTTCTTGGGGTTTTTAACGGGAGCAGTGGTCCGATCAGGTTGTGAAGCTGCTAAGGCTGATTGGGTGAGTGATGATAAACCAGGACGGGTAGCATCGGTGTGGTTTGGTTCGGATCTCAGTGTTCCACCGCGAACCACATCCAGATTGAGGAGAGATGGATTGGGGTTTGGGTTAGGTTGGGGTTGAGAAAATAGGTTGAGGAAATTAGGAGAAGGATCAAAGAAAGCGGGTTGGTGGGGGAAATTTGACATGGGATTGAAGTGGTTCAGGAAAGCTGGGACTGAATTATGGTCCGGCCGGGATGAATCATACTCTTCATCACCGCCACTAGAAGACTGCATGCTTCCACTATTAGCAGAATCCATAGATAAACAAATAATTGATCAGTATGAAATGGAACCTGATTGCAGAAGAGAGACGACTGCGCATGCAAAGAATTGAGGGCGATAGTTGGAAAGTTTGCAGATAACCAAAAAGATATATATTATTCTTGGAAGCCTGCGTAACAGAAAGATATATATCTCCTCTCAGAAAGCTGTGAATGAGAATTCAGACAGACCCGTGAGGAAAAAGGTAATAAACAGCTGCCATATGTGTCAGCTGCACGAGCTAAACCCTGCAGGATATGGATCTTCCTTTTTCTGTAAGAGCTGGAGATCGGGAACTTCTAGATGGAGGATATCAAACTTACTCTTTCTGGCATCAGAATTAGGGTTTGGTGGAGGAAAGAGAGAAAAGGAAAGGTTATTTAAGCTTTTAGGTGTATGGGAAAAGTGGGATATATGTACAAGTTTCCACTAAAAAGATCCTGTACCTCTAGAGAGTGCAGTCGGATGAGGTGGGATCGCCATTGGAGAGGAGAGGAGAAGAGAAAGAAAGAGTTAGGGGGTGGCTGGCGACGGGTCAAACTCAAACAGGGAGAGAGAGTGATGGAGAGAGAGAGGGGTTGGCCTTTTATGCCATGAATGTGAAACCAGGAAA